TTTTATCCATTTATATACAACTACAATATCATACAACTTAAATATAATTTTTATACAAATTTTATACAATATGTCTTTTCTATATTTTGTATCAGATTTATAAATCGTAAAAATAAATTTCATACAACTAATTATATATTATACAACTTATCTACAACTTTCATACATTATTTCTATCCAGTTTTATACAACTACAATATCATACAACTTAAATACAAATTTTATACAATATTGTTCAACTTTCATACAGTATTTAAATAAAAATATATATAAACAACATAATATAATTTTTTTATACTTTTACTACAACTTTAGTACAATTTCTTAAGTATAATATATGTCATGTCTTCTTCTTCGAGTTTCAATCCGAAATTCAGCCAAAATCAAGTCTAATCTTCACCAAAACACCCTCAAAATTGAGATATAAACTCAAAATAATATTCTCAATTGTTTGCAACAACACCCAATCCAAACAAATAATGATTTTTAAAAAATTCAAATTCGAATTTAAAGCTTCAAAATTTTTTAATGGCTATCAATGGTGAAATTGCCGCTCTCTTACTGGAATTAGGGCTGATCTTCGAAAGTGTTTTTTTCTTCATTGAACGGTAAGCAAGCAATAGGCGTTGATGGAGGTGTGTGGTAGAGTATTTAGAGCTTGAATCTATAAAAATGGAGATTGGTTTTTGAAGAAGAGTGAAAAATGTAGAGGAATTTTTGAAGAAGAACGTAAAGGAATGTAAAAATTCCATGATAATTTCCAGGGATCGTCACAACCGACAAGCTAAACATCTCAAGCTTTACAAATGAATCAAAAGATGATGGTACCAAAATTTCCACTAATGAAACTAAGGGTGTTCGTTGGTCGGTACGATATGGTATTTAGATATTTTGGTTCGGTATTTTCAGTATTCGGTTTCTTAAAATGCAATACCAATACCGTACCTAATTAAATTCGGTATGGTTCGATTTTTCTCCTTCCGATTTCGGTTTATTCGGTTTGGTAACTTCGGTTTATTCGGTTTGAATACTAACTAGTGCATACAGTCATAGAATGTAATATTCTAAATTAAAGTACTCAAAAGTACAAAACTAAAATCATTTGTTGACAAAAATTTTGTCCAAAACTAGCAAATATCAACTTAGAGAGAGAAAACTGTACATAAAAGAATAAATTTGATCATTAGAAATGTCTTGTTACTTAGAGTTAATTGATAAACTTAGAGAATAAAGGAAAGTAAGATTTTAGATTTTTATATTTATGTTATAATTAATAATATGTGTATTGTGTAATATAATATATATTTCGGTACGGTATCGGTATTTGGTATTTTATTTTAAAATACCAAATACCATACCTAATACCAATATTTTTTAAAACTTAAACCAAATACCATACCGAATACCAAACTATCGAATACCAAACTATCGAATACCAAATACCAAAATTTTCTATTTTGGTACGGTAATTCGATATTTACCAAATTATGCACAGCCCTAAATGAAACCATTCCATGTGCTGCCTAGCCCAAGGATCAAATTAACAGAGTAGCTGCAAATAAAAAATGTCTTTGACTAGTCCATTTAAAAAATCACTCTATCGTCTTCTTCAAGGGGGTGTGTGGAGAGAAAAACATGGAAGAGTTTAGAGTGATTTTAGGATTTAATTATTATCATTAAATGTTTAAAAATGTACATAATTGGAATTTTATATATATTATGTAATTAAATTAAAATTTGAATAGAAAACGTAATAAAATTTAAAATAGTGTATATGAATGTAAAAATTGCTTCCTAGTTGGCGGCGGAGGAGGAGTAATAATACGGGTAAATGAGGCTTCTCGAGTAGAGAGTGGACGAGAGGTTTAATCTTGGCCAAACTTATCTGGAGTATTACTTGCCGAAACCAAATAACATCTATTATAATCTGGCTTTAGAAAACGACTATCAGAAGATGGCCTAAAATTTGCTGGTCCCGTAGATTCATGTGCCTAAAGTTTCATGTTAATTTGGCTTTAATGAAGAGGTTCCATGCCTGTGTGAATCATAGTCAAGAAAGAATCAAATATGCAACAAGTAAAGAGGAGAAACATAGAGAAAAACTTTAAGCTGAACACACACATACATTACCTAAATTTATAGCTCTTGATTACTGAGTATTTATCGTAGTATGTTATCTTACAAGAAGGAACTGAAAAAGCTCCTCTTTCATCATCCTCGTCATTAGTCATCACTAACACCATTAACAGAGCAGTACAACATTCCACATTACTCTCATATTGATCTTAAACCTCCTTTCCCAGCCTTCCCTCCAACCACTTTCCCATAATAATCCAATTCCCATATTATGATATTACAACATTCCATTCCCGTATTTCAATTTAACCAAACCCCATAGTTTTCCCAATTTTATATCTTACAAAATTTTGAAGAAAAATAAAAATATTTAAACGCATTTCTTTCTAATTTTCTCAAATTTCAGACCTTTTCATCTCTCCATATGTCTAAAAAATATTCATGGAGAAATTAAGATCCCAAAAAGTTGAGAACTTTTGTCCGCATATATTCGGGTCGGGAACGTTAAAAACGGATTCTCTAGTATTCAAGTCGGAGCAAGCGCCTCAAATCTCTGGTGGCAGAGTCATCAAAGGACTTGAAATCTTCCTGCTTTTTGTTGAAAAATGAAGGCAAGGGAAGAGCTCTAGGCGATGGCGAATTTGAAAATGCCGAACCGGCATACACGTCAGCCGATGATAACCCGACCCGGATTTGCTTGGGCAGCATTTCCGGTTGAACCAGCGAATTCAAAGACTCGCCTCTCCTCAGAATCGTCACCCGACCCATTTCTAGGCCTTCGTTGTGAGCCTGTCTCAACTCCACGGCGCTCGCACATCTCCTCGTGATCGACGGCGGCTCAGGTTGGTTATTCGGCTTCTTCTTCTCCGTTCTGACCACCGATTTTCTGTTCCTAGGATTAAAATAGCCATTTCCGTTTCCAAAGTTGCTTCTCCGGCGATGGAACGCCGACGGCGGAACTCTGAACCTTTCAATTAAGATATCCTGTGGCCGTAAAACCTCGGTTCCCATATTTCCGCACAAAAATTGAATTTTTCCAGCGAAATGCAAAAATGAATTCAACTAAATTTAAAAGCATAAAGGAGAAAATGATTAAGTGGAATGAAAATTAACAGAGTTGCCGGAAATAGGAATCAGGAATGAGAAAGAAGCTTTTAAATTAGTTTTGATTTTTCCAGTTCCTTGTGATAAGGAAGGAAGAAAGAATTTCTCTCTTTTTGCTCTATCAAGGAAAAGGAAAAACAGTTTCGATTTGTTCTGCTCGGTTTAGATTGAAGAATTGGGTGGGGATGGTATAAGATTTAAATACAAAGGGGGGAGAGAAAGAAGATTAGAGATGTGGGGGGGAGAGAAAGAAGATTAGAGATGTGGGGGGGAGAATCGCGCGGCCCGGGGGGGGGGGGGTAGGGGGTGATAGATTTTTGGGGCTGGTGGTGATTATTTTTTCTTTTTTGTTTTGAAATATTCTGGTTCAAAAACTAGTCCTACATGGATTTTAATGAATAAATTGTTATGGGAAGGTTGACTTCACATTAAGTATTTTATTATATCAAGAAAAATAATAAAAACCGAAATTAAATACTGCATCAAATATTGTGCTGTGGCCATGTTTGCTAATACCTCCAAGCAGATGATCTTTCAAGCTTTTTTCCTAAGTGTATCATACATAGTTGGTCATAGAAAATTTTGCAATTAAGTGTATAAATTTATTGGTGGCAGTCGTATTATAATTTCATATTTTAATTATAATAAATTAAGAGTACTCATAAATTAATATACTTGGTTGCAATTTGGAGGGGCAGATTTATTGACAAATATATGAGGCACGTGAACCCGTGGTTTTCCGCCAAATTAGGTATTTTATATACATATACTAAATGGTGCACTTGGTTGAATATTGAGTTATTTACCTAGAGGAGCAGGGATCAAAACTCACTTAATATCTTTTTTTCTCCTTTCTTTAGTGGTGCACCCCATGTTATAAAAATTTTAGATCCGCTTCTGGCAATTTGTATTAGGGTAAATTTTTTTTCCCGTGGTTCTAACGGAAAGAGAAAGAGGGGGTATTGGCTGGAACTTGGACCGCCTTGTTTGATTATTCACATTTTTAGTGGTTGACATAAGCTCAAACTAATAGCATGTTTGGCCAAGTTTTTTTTTTGGGTCAAAAGTCCTTTTTTTTTTTGGACAAAAGCACTTTTGGCCGAAAACTGAGGTGTTTGGCCAAGCTTTTGGAAGGAAAAAGTGCTTTTGAGGAGAAGCAGAAGCAGTTTTTGAGAAGCAGAGAAACGTAGCTTCTCTTCAAAAGCACTTTTCTGAGAAGCACTTTTGAGAAAAATACACTTAGAAGCAGTTTTTAAAAGCTTGGTCAAACACTAATTACTACTCAAAAGTGCTTTTCAAATTAATTAGCCAAACACAAACTGTTTCTCACCGCATTTTTTTGAAAAGTACTTTTGAGAAAAACACTTCTCAAAATAAGCTGATTTTAGAAGATTAGCCAAACAGGCTATAAGAGTACTCATAAATTAATATACTTCTGTTCCGCTACTTCAGGCTCTTGTCACTTTTTGGTTTCTCATTTATTTCTTTACCAAAAGAATTCTACTTTATTAGCTTTTGTTTTTGTCCATAATATCTGCCACGTCAGTTAGGGTCTGGACGACTGGGCAGTGGCCATTGGGCATTCACAGCTTCTAATTTTCTTTTTTCGTTTATATAATTTTGTTCTACTTAGATAATGACATATATATATATTATATATATATATTGAGAGTCTTAGCACTAACTATGCCGTTTAGGAAAACGTGCGTTATTTTCATGCACGTCACCACGTAGTTTAGGAAGAAAAAAAATGCATGCACGTAAATATGCAGAAAATTCCGAATTTTAGGCATAGAGATCCGGCAAGAGGCAAGATTCAGGTTAACAACATGACAACCACTATTTCCCTCTTTCCGTTTCATCTCCTTCTCTCCTTCTCTTTCATTCATTAGCAAAGCTCTCCATTTTTGGTTTCTCTGGAAGAGGCTCTCCCCTGACCGGGCCACCCAGGGTTCAGGTCATTTGGCGATTCATTGTTCTTTCCCTGAGAATCCATGAAAACTACTCGTGAACCTTCAGCTTCTCCATGGTATCTTCTATATTCTGATTTTAATTTCCCTTCTTACCAATTTTGTTAATTTTCATTATGCAATTTTTGAATCTCCCTTTTATTGGTTATACCATATTCAGGCAGTTAGGCAGCTGCTGCCTCTTTTTCATTTTTTAGTTGGGGTGGGGGTTCAGGAAATGTTGTAGATGTAGCTTATTTTAACCAGATGATTAGCTAATATATGCGTAATATGTTTCTAATCCAGACACACATCTGTGTCATTGTCATGCAATAAAATATGTACAAGAATGGTGGATAAAATCCAGACATACATCTGTGTCATTGTCATGCAATAAAATATGTACAAGAATGGTGAATAATATAGATAAAAACCTATTAGTATAATAAGAACTATTTTGGGTATATAAATGGAAATGCTCTTTGTTGTATGTGTGGACAACAATTACATTTCAAGCCACTGTTGTCTTTAAAACTTGGGATCTTTGAGTAGTTTTCCTAAGAGGACTGCAGATCGTCGAAGTCGAAAAGACATATGTAAGAGAAGGTAGCTGAGATAAGTTGGAGGGCCGGGGATACGAAAAATGGAAGAAGAAGCCATTTTCTCGGTGTTTCATGAATCGCCTAATACAATGTGTTTGATTAAATGACTCGTCGAAATAACTGATAGTGTTAATTGTGTTAACAGTGAGATTCCCTGCAATGTCAGTGAAGGAATCCCAGAGAAGGGGCTTCCGAAGATGGGGCAGAATAAGCTGCTTTTTTGTGCTTCCATTTCTATCTCTGCTGAAGGTAAAATTTCTTTAGGTGGATGCTTTCTTGCTCATATTACTTCTCTTCAGCTAATTTCTTTTACGTTTGTACTATGTGACGTTTCACATGTTATGCTAGAATTGCGGTGTCTCACTATGGCGGAAGGAAAAGTAGACAAGGATTCAACTGGAGAAGTTTTGGACAAGGTTCAATTTCGAGATGATTTAACTGGAAAAGTTATTAAAGATAATGAATATGAGGAGTCTACAAGAGATGCTTCCGAAGATGGATCAGAGTCTGAAACAACAACTTCCAAGTCCAGCACTTCAGATTCAGATGGAAAATTTCAATCTCAGTGGAAAGGATTCATTAAAAGACTAAAGATTGGGTCTTCCATACATTTGCATACTTTCCATCCTAGCATACCTTCACTGCCTTCTATTAAGATGATAGCGAAAAGGAAAACTAAGAGTACAGAACAGAACATGCCAATGGTGCCTGCTCCTAACCTAGATACTGATTTACGTCACTGCTTTCAAGCGCACTGGAAAAACTTCTTCCTCTCTGACCTTCAGAAAGCTACTGACAACTTTAGCCGTGGTATGATGATTAGACAATTTAATTTTATCGTAGTACCTGCAACTAATTGAATCTTAGGCAGCCAACATGAAAGCAAATATCACTTTGAACGTCAAAAACAACTCAAAATTTTAACTTTCAACTGCTTTTGTGCTATGGGCTTGTTTGTATCTTCCATTTATTTAGCAAATTACCAGATTAAAAACCATATTGTGATGCTCATTATTCTTTATGTCATTCTCAAAGAAAACTTGATCGGTGAGGGAGGTTCATCCGAAGTATATAAGGGACATCTTGAAGATGGCCAACTAGTTGCAGTTAAAAGGCTGATCAGGGGAACTCAAGAGGAGATGGTAGCTGACTACTTATCTGAGCTCGGAATTCTAGTACATGTTGACCATCCAAACGTTGCTGGTGTTATTGGATATGGAGTTGAAGGAGGGATGCACCTTGTCCTTCCTCTGTCTCCACATGGGAGCTTAGCAACTCTGCTTAATGGTCTGTTCACTATATCTTCATTTGAATTTATTCCTTTTGTAGATTTTAAACTGTGAATTACTTTTCTCTATTATGCATTATTCTTTTCAGGTGAAAAGGGTAGGTTGGCTTGGTGCCATAGGTATAATATTGCTCTAGGCACTGCTGCTGGCCTTGCATATCTCCATGAGGGTTGCCGGAGGAGAATCATCCATAGAGATATCAAGACGGCTAACGTTTTGCTGACGGAAGATTTTGAGGCTCAGGTACTTCTTTGAACTAGTGCTTATGATTTTAAAAGCCGTTGTATTATGTTTTAAAATTGCTTTGCTGTCTGGCATTTGAGTACCTTTCTGCGATACTTGAATGTCATTTGTCAGAATACCTTCATTATTCTGTACTTGTCCCAAACATGAAGTTTTCTTCGAAGTGACAGAACACAAGAATATTTATTGCCTTAGGGATAAAAATGCATGGGGGTTTGTTTCTGTTTTATTTATGCGCTACTTAAGCTGCACTCTTCCAGTCAGGAAATCCATAGTCCATGAACTTCTAATAGAACTAATATAACCTATAGGGGTTTTATTTTATTTTTTTCAATTTGCAGCATTTTGATGCTCAGCTTTTGGTTTTCTGCAGATATCTGATTTTGGACTTGCAAAATGGCTCCCTGATCAGTGGACACACCTCACTGTATCTCAGTTTGAAGGCACATTCGGGTTTGTGGAGACATAATCTCAACCAACAAAACATATATGCTATAATGATCTCCCATAGGTGACATATCATTTTAAATGCCATGACAGATACCTCCCTCCTGAGTTCTTCATGCATGGTATTGTGGATGAAAAAACAGATGTTTATGCCTTTGGCGTTTTATTATTGGAGCTCATTTCTGGACGTCCAGCTTTGGATGAATCTCGCAATAGTGTTGTGATGTGGGTATGCAATCATCTCAATTCTACATTCTTCAGTTAGTAGGGAGCAAATGTAGTAGATTAAGACTGCCACTTCTTCTGGCAATGGATCATACTTCAACTGTAATTGAAACTTACTATGATCACCATGTTGCAGGCCAAACCATTGCTCCTTAGTAAGAACCACTGCGGGTTAGTTGATCCATCACTTGGTGATGCCTATGACTCGGAACAGATGAATCGTATGGTTATGGTTGCCTCTCTATGCATACAGCAAAATTCAACAGATCGGCCTCATATGAGCCAGGCATGTAATTTGAATTTTTAGGGAGCACATTACTAGTGTGAATAATAATAACAGAATGCGGATGGTAGCCTTTTGAAAATAAAGATTGGGTTTTTCCTCAGATTGTCCAGTCTTCTAGTATCTAAGTTTTTTATGTTCTCTTAATTATAGGAGTATAAAGATACTCCTGAAGGGATAGTCAGTATTTTACAGGAAAGAGAGTTTGCTTCTACTCTGGACAGTTGTTAAATTTTGCAGTGATCCAGAAAACTTTACTGGCAGAGGCAGAACCTCTCATCTGTTCCAATTCAAAGCCATGATAGGTAAAAAAAAAAAAAAGGAAGAAGACAGTTCCTTGATCTTGTTCTTACCCTAGGCTAAACACAAATCTGATGTGAATTGAAGTTCCGGCTATATAAAGGGGAAGGGCGACTAAAATTTAGCAGTGCAGTAATTTGAGTTGGGATCAAGTTAATACTAGTACTCTAAAGGATTTGGCTTTCTGAGTTTATTTGGTTCATTTTTTGTTCTCAGTACATAGAGCTTTGTCCAACTGTGCTTGGAAATGTTAGGCTAATTCGAAGAGAACTTGGCACCTTATTCAGTAACATTAACATACCATGCCACAAGGAAGATAAAAGAAGCCCATATACTGTAGTTTCCCAATTAAAAGGAAGAATTGTTGTAATTTCATTAATTTGATGCATGCCATGCAGGTTCAGGAGATGTTAAAAGGTGGTGGAGGCATTCTCCAAAGAATGAAAACGTTCCAAAATGCCAGCCGTCAAGAGGATATATCCCATAGAGTGAATTTACTGCTCGAGTCGTCCTCACCTAAGTGTAAAGATAATCCAGACCAGCAAAATCAGGCAGTGTAGGGGAAATAATCCCTTGGTACGACGAAGATCTCTGTTGTGATCTGGAAACGCTGGACGTACATCTCACTGCCATGGGGCTGTCGGAATTCACAACACGCAAGTTTGAGTTATTAATGTTCTATTCTACCATAATAGATGGAACCAGAGCTCCCTTGTGAAAAATCTAAAAGGTCTGAGAAATCAAATTGAAAAGTGCAGCACTCAGTGTTTCGAGTTTTGACAGGTTTAGCAGGTTTCTTTAGCTTAATGTTGGGCAGTACTATATTGAAGAAGCAAGAGATGCCAACATAATGTACAGTATGCATAGGAGAGTGATTATTTTAACCCTTGTTCTATTTGACTGCATTCAGTAATTAATATCTCACTGGACATTGATCTGTAATGAAATGTGTATACAACTATGAACTTTAGAAGGTGAACGCATACTAGGGTGAACGTGTGTGTTTGACACCGGCTTTCTAATTGCTAAACATTACATGTACAACACATGCTTTACATGCAGATTACTTTGTTAATTGGATTTTAACTAGGCAACCCTTTGAAAGACAAATTTGTCGCACCCTTATAATGTGAACTTCAGTCCCTCAAGAACAGACACAGATACTCAGGGTAAATGAGTGCTTGATCGCCATCCTCGTTTCCTAACAAAGATTTCCACCAGTTGTACGGCTTTGGCAGATAATATTACTAATTGAAAGTTCAAATTGTCAACATCCTATCCATGCCCAATTCATAAGAAAAAGCAAAGGGGTCTTTACCATGGATCAACCGAGGGAAACACACAGAAATACTTACACCAATTGTTGTATGCTCTAAAACATGTCAAATTTATCACGGTTAAGAAATAAATTGAGGTAAAATTCATACAAAAGATACACGTGATGCACTATTGATTTTGTGCTAAACCGAATACATGTAAGAACTTTTTGGTTGACTTATTTCGTGAATGTACATATCATTTAAGTAACTTTCATACTCCGACAAATTAGAAACTACTTTTGCTAGAAAATTATCTGCTAGTTCTACTTATTTAATTTTTGAGTCTACTTCACATAAACTATTGGTCCACGGAGACCATGTATTTTGTTAGAGAACCTTTCAGAAACCACCATGTTTTAGTGATTATTAGCTAGTTGTAGCTACCATTTACTATATTACTTCCTATAGCTATGTTTTCAGGTTTTTTAGAGTGTATTCGATGTATTTAAGCTACTGTATTCATGATTACAGTAGCATTTCTAGGCGTGAAACAGGGGATTACAGCTAGACAGATTTTTGTATTCGACTATATTCATGGCGTGAAACAGGGGATTACAGCTGTTTTTAAACGGAAACTGAATCAATTAACATAATAGACTCCTAATATAACTCAACAAACTCAATTATAACACACAAAATTTGTATTTCCAGTTATAAAAAAGATTCTCAACCAAAAAATACCCCAAATACATAGCAATCTTCAGAGAAAATATGCTGAAAATTTTTCCAGCCGATAATTACAACAAAAACAGAGCAATTTGAATACATATATACATCTAAATACATAAATTATATCAATTAAAAAATATATGAAAACATTCAAGGAATACAACGAGACAGTGAATACAATAAAATACATGGAATACAGCGAGATACTTTGAAATACAATGAAAAAAAATAATGAATACAATGAAATACATGGAAATACAGCGAGATACATTGAAATATATTAACAGAAAATTCAAGTTGCTCAGCCCCAAACTCCGTCGTCTTTGTTCAAGAACAACCCTAATATCGTCTCGCCGTCACTGTTGCCTCCGGTTGCCGTTGTTACGCCGGAGAAAATTTCTATATCGGATGATTGCTCGGCAGCCCAAAAGTCTTTGCCGGAAAACTCTAATTCTGATGCTTTCCGGAGAGTTCTGGTAGTAAGATGAAGGTGAAAGATGTGTGTGTGTGTAAGAGAGAGAGAGAGAGAGAGAGAGAGAGAGAGAATAGATCTAGGGTAGGGGATGGATTTGAACGTATCCCTTCCTTCAATTGGATAGAGAATAGAGAGAGAATATATTAAACGTATCCCTTCCTTCAACTGGATGGATTTGATGCTTTGCAGGAGAGTTCTGGTATTAAGATGAAGGTGGAAGCTGAGAGAGAGAGAGAGAGAGGGAGAATAGATATGGGGTATGGATACGAGAAATTTGAGGGGATAGGAGAAATTTGCGTGGAGAAAGAAAAATAATACAAAGCTTATTTTATGGCTTAAGGGTAGGAGGTGACCATAAATAGATATTTGGCTATAAAAAATCAAAAGGTAGCTATGGAATATAATTTTTTAAAAGGGTATTTATTTAAAATAAACAAGGTATCAACCTTTGCTATAGGAGGTAATGTGAACTAAATTCTGTGTTTCCGAGGCCTTGAAAACCTCATTTAGAGTTGCCTCGATTTGCTTGCACAGTCCGGGCGCGTAGCCGGAAAGCTTAAATATGGAAATCTGTGAAAAATGATAACATTTGGCTAATAAATGAACTAATTTGACTTCGGTCAACGTTTTGGATAAACGGACCCGGACCCGTAAAATATGGGACTTGGGCGTATGCCCGAGATCGAATTTCGAGGTCCCTAGCCCGAGAAATGAATTTTCAAAGAAAATTATTTTCTGAAATTGTTTAAAGTATTTTGAAATGAAATTTGATTAGAACATGATGGTATCAGGCCCGTATTTTGGTTCCGGCGCCGGGTACAGGTCTTATATATGATTTAAGACGTTTTTGTAGAATTTGGTGAAAAACGGATGTCATTTGACGTGATTCGGACCTAAATTGCAAAAGTTGATGTTTTATGAAGTTTGAGAAAAAATCTTTGATTTTGAGGTTTAATTCTTTGTTATTGAGGATATTTTGGTGATTTGATCGCACGGATAAGTTCGTATGATGTCATTGAGTTAGTGTGTATGTTTGGTTAGGAGCCCCGAGGGCTCGGGTGTGTTTCGGATGTGTTTCGGGAGGTTTTGGACTTATAAAAAGTTGCAGGTTTTTCTGCTGTTCAGTGCCCAGGGATTTTGTTCTTCACGTTCGCGTGGGCCCACTCGCGAACGCGTAAGGCAAGTATCCCAGGTGCCCAATTTCTTCTTCACGAACGCGAAGCTCGAGACGCGAACGCGAAGCTGAGGGGGGAGGCCCTTCGGCGAACGGCATCCTTGCACNCTTTGCAGGAGAGTTCTGGTATTAAGATGAAGGTGGAAGATGAGAGAGAGAGAGAGAGAGAGAGAGAGAGGGAGAATAGATATGGGGTAGGGGATACGAGAAATTTGAGGGGATACGAGAAATTTGAGTGGAGAGAGAAAATAATGCAAAGCTTATTTTATGGCTTAAGGGTAGGAGGTGACCATAAATAGATATTTGGCTATAAAAAATTAAAAGGTAGTTATGGAATATAATTTTTTAAAAGGGTTTTTATTTAAAATAAATAAAGTATCAACATTTGCTATAGGAGGTAACTAATCCATTTTGTTATGACGCATATTAATTTACAATAATTTATCGTTCACTAACTTTCAAACTCCAGATCATAACTTTAAATATTTCAAATTTATATATGTGATATGTTGTATACATGTGGTATTTATTAGGTCTGATCATTATTTATTCAGTACAGTTAAGGGTTTATACCTGTTTAACCAAAAAAGTATTAAGCCTTTTGATTAAATCAATTAATGATGAAAAGAGGGTAAATCTTAGACAAATATAATCGACTCTAGATCTAAGCACCATTAGTGTTGAAATCCAAGAGATTGAATTTATATAACATATCTTAGAGCGAATAGAAGACATTAAATGTAAATAATAAGCTTACAACTTCAACACATAGTTTCGTATTTATAGAAATAAAGAGAACAAAGGATGATTTTTGTTAATAACTATGAGATCTAGCTTTATTGATTCGACGAAGGGGATTACACAGGTCTGTAATCCAGAACGTAAGCTTCTTCTTTTTGCCCCTGGAGATCTCTTCCATATCTTCTGTTCCTTTTTTTCTTCCCCCTTTCCTTCTGCTTGGCCTTCCATATATCAATTTCCCCTTTTACCCAGCGGTTCTTATCCAGCGTGACCTCTCATGGTGTACTTCTTCCTCACTCGCCCAAGTATTATGTTCTGTCGTGTAAGTTTTTTGATGGACTGATCTCGGCAGCAGCCGAGATACTCGTCGCCATTACGCCTCGTGCGCACGACTATGGCTTGGCCGGCCTCTTACCGTTTCCTTTAATGATAATCATTTAATTGTCAGATTTTGACCTATACAGTTAGTCCCTCCGCCCGTTGGGGTCGTCTTTTGGAGAGCTCAATGGGCGGATCCTGTCGATTCAAGAATTTAAGAGAATTTGGACGTTATGAGAGGACGGGGTCCTTATGGCTAGGCGGCGATGTGATGCTTCAAGGACCTTACTGGACCGTTGCATCAGTTCGGAGATAGATCGTCATGTCGATTCAGGGTACCATGAATGCCCGTTATGCGTCATTATGACGCACGTTTACCAGGCACCATATCGTTTCATGTGCCCTTTCAGTTTTTTGATTGGCGGCTCTCGGGTTTCCCGCTCAGGACATTTGTGTTCCTATAAATAAGGGGAATCCACCATTTGATTGTTATGCTTTTCAATTTACCAGAGAGAATTTTACAAACTTCCACCTTTCTCAGTATTTCATACTTCTGCTTTCGTCTGAATTTGACGTGACCATCCTCTCTATTCCCTCATCGCTCTTGTTTATTTCGATCAAGACAGACAAATTGCTGGTACTTCTTCCCAGATTGATAGATTTGTCGAAGCTCCGGTGCCGGAAAATGATGTAACCCTTATTGAAGAGGGAATGGAGGTGGCGGAAGACGAGGGATTTCAGATAGTGGATGAGATACTACCCCGTCCGGGGAAATTAAGGACTGACTTTAATGGCCCTGACGGAGACGAACCGGATCCTGTCCCTTCCACCATGGATGAAGCGGCGATTACGGCGCTCAAGGCAAAGTAGGGAATCCCAATTCATATCGAAATGGTATCGGCGGCGGGGAAGGACATTATACATTTGTACCGCCCGGGGTACTGCGCATTTTACGCGTACCCTTTTGATATCGGATACACGCTTCCTCTCCTCTCTCTGGTGGTAGACTTATGCCGCTTCTACGAAGTGTGCCCGGCTCAACTGTCTCCGTACGCGTACAAACTCTTTCTCATGCTTATCAAGTACGCGGAGCTTGCCGGACAAGGAATTTCTTTGGGGCACATGCTTCACATCTTTGCCCCTCATTTTCTTCGGGTTACAATGATCCATATGCGCCATCGAGGAACCAAGAGTTTGGTGGTGAAGATGGACGATAAGGCTAATCGCCGCTTCTGGGCAAGCTACTTTTATGTGCGGACAGAGCACCTTGTGGCGAATTCGGCAGGGTT